GCTGCCACAGGTGTTATAAAAATTTTGAATTTTTTAAATTACTTATAATATGCAATCTTTTAATAAAATAAAAATTAAGAAAACAGGGCTTCGTAACACTGCAAGCTTAAGAGACTTGTGCATGCAGTTCAATAAAGTAAAACAGTTAGAACTATGTATCCATCCCGAATGACTTTAGCATTCCAGTGCCTGATAGGCAAGGAAAAGGAAATTACTGCAGAAATTAAAATTTATGTTGACCATGTGTTCGAGTTAATAATTTCAGTAAATGATATTTAAGTAAATCACAGACTTAGGTACTGAAGAATGTCTCACCACTGGATATTTTAGCAAATTAACACTTCCAGACATCTTATGTAAAACTGCTGTGGTGGTGTTCTGTGTTGTGGTTTGTCTTTGGTGGGTTTTGTTGTTTTTTTTCCTTTACCTTTGTACCTCTTTCTTGGGGTTGTTTTAGTTGTTGATCAGTATGGGTTTAGATCTTTGGCCAGTTTATACAAGTGCATCTGATGTTTGGGAAACAATGTGAAGAAATATGAACGTGCATCAAATATTGATTTTTGTTTCCATTACATAAAGGGGAGGTTTCTTAACCTCTTAAGTGTGAATACAGAGTAAAGGGGAAAAAGCAGGTGACTGGTAACAGTTTGCAACAACTCAAAACATAAGGCATCTTGCTGCTTTCTTCATTTGCAATGTGGAAACAGGAATAGAGGCTATTTCTATCTTGGCAAAAATGGTCAACATTGACTTTTCTTTTGAAAGGACTAATCAGAGCTTGCAGGCACTCATTCACATGCATGGCAGCTGGTTAGGAGAGTCTGTGAAGTAAGGGGGCTCTGCTACTGATGAGTTACTTTTTTGTGTCAGCAGAAAGATTCTTTGAGCTGCCCGGCTGGTTTAATGATTTGAGGACAAGTTTACCAAGAGATTACACTTTAACAGAAGAAGATCCTTAAACATGTGTATAAACTAAATTTACACAATTAAGACCTGAACTTCAGTCTTTAGAGTAGAAGAGGAAAAAAATAGAGCTAGAGAATAAATTACAACGAACCTCATTTCTATGCTCTTCAGGATGATGCAAAGCCCATTTTTGTTGTTCTATTCTGCCAAGCATAGTAAACACCTACTGTTAGTATCTTTACTAGGATAGTTGCTAGTGTCCAAAACAATAAACCATTCTCCTAGGGACATTTTATGAGGCAGCCGTCTAGTTCTGTCTCCACATGGAGGAATGAAGTGTCTTCTGATTGGAGAAAAACAAAAAGTTCATAGTTACTTCACTAGAGTATTATACCCTGGAGATCCTCATCAACACTCAGCTGAAGATCAGTTTGTCTGTGTGATTGTACAGCGTGGACAGAAGGTTTCTGGCAGACCTTCCTAATGGCTCTCTGGCTCTGAGGTACTCCAGGTGGGTTCAGGGCAACATACAGCAACTCTGTGTGAGCCTCCATTTAGGAGCTTTCCTGGGAGCAAGTAGAGACCACACTCCCCATCAGAGCACCAGATGTCCACTAGCACATGATGACACTACAAAAAATCCACAAAAGAACATGACAAACTCAGTAATTTCCCAAGAAACAAACTCTCCATCTGACAAAGCACAAATGGTGTTTCCTCAAACCTTAAACTATGCCAGGTGTTTACTGAACATCACTCGGCTTCGCACACAGCTGAGCACTCTCATGTTTCTGCTCTCCCACCACATCCCACCCACCCAGCCACTCCCCCTGGAAACAGCACAGGACAGTTGTGCAACTCCAGTAGCACATGCTGCAGCGTGCAGAGACATGCACTATGCAGCTCTATTTTTACATGCTTGTGAGACCACCCTCCCTGACAGTGCATCACAGCCAAATGATCATTTCTACACAGCATAATCCCCTTCGCTGCTTCCAGGTTATCAGATGGAGAGCACCGATCCCAGTAATAAAAATATCTGTGCTACGCAGATACCTGGGAGACAACAAGCCTGTGTTTTGTTCAAGGGTTGTCACATCTTTGGACAAATGAAAAAAATTTTTCTCTTACAGATACATAAATCATAAGTCATGACAGATTTATTTATTTTTTAATGCAGCAGGCAGACCAGGCTGAATATTGAGCATCTTAAAAACTTCATTCTAAAACTCTTTATTCCTGGGAAATTATACATCACCAGCGTTCATGGTCTGATTGAGGCTACAAAAGGTGTGCAATGTATGAAAACATAGAAATTTAATGGGAAAAACTGGTAGATGTCCCTGTTCACCTGAAATACAGATACAAATGATCCACAAGTGCATATTGGCTCCAGTGCCAACTGCTCATCTCCAAGACAGGAGCATGGTAGCACCTGGCCATCACCACCTAGAGGTTGGGCTTCACCAGCAGTGCCAAGAAGCAATTCCATGTGGCTTGAACCACTGTCACACCACAGGGCCGCCATGCTCTGTGCAAGAGCTCAGCCAGCTGCTGGGGCACAGTAGTGCTGCTGGGCTGCACCGGTGAAGCTGGAGATGGGTTCAGGGAACTTGAGACTTGGAGGCTCAACCTGCCAACACCAAGTGCCGCAACTGCTGTTGACCTTCCCCCTCGGCCCATGGAGCAGGGCTGGGACACACGGTAGCAAGCACCAACACAAACCTCTGTGTGAAGTACCCTGAACACAGAAATGTGGGACTGACATCTTCCCAAATGCAGAAGCAGTTCCCAAAAACACATGCTGCTCCTCTCAGCCTGGTTCTCCAACAAGCTCTTATTCATCCATTCTCCTATAAATCACGTTGTCCAATGCCTCAGCAGAAAACAGCTCGGTGGGAACCCAGAGAGCCTGGGGAGAGTGAGCCCACTAACAGACTGGGTTACATATCAGTGAAGGAAATGTATCCTTGGAAAAAGTCCCTTCCTGAGACACTGTCACCTTACTACTCAGGTGAAAACAGCTGCAATACCACAGATAGTAAAGCTTCAATCCAGAAGGACATGTGTATCTGTACATCACATCATGTTTTCACTACCTTTTCTTTTTTCTTTTTTTTT